CCAGGCTCAATAGTCACTTGGGCCTTGAGCCTGCCTCAGTAGGACTCAAGATGATCACATGCCCCTTGGGCCCTAATGAGACCTCTGTATATTGCTCCTATAGTCCTATCCCAAACCACTGGTGTAAATACAACACAAACATAAGTCCCTGGGCTATAACAGAAACACAAAGGGGAAACAGCCCACTGCCCCATTAAGAGGGTTATCTTTCCTTCACCGCTTGGCTAGGATTGCCTCCCAGCCCTGGGCCATATGCTAGCAAGCTCCCATGGACACACAGGGATTAGGGTTGCCAACCCTCCAGGATTGTCCTGGAGTCTCCAGGAATTAGAAATAAATCTCCAGGAGACTGCTGAGAGTCCCCTGGGAGATAACTGATAGGGCATTAATTAAAATAAATATTAGATGTTGTATCTGATTTATACTGTTATCCAATGGGTTTTTTAAATGTAATAGTAATGTGCATTTTCCTTCCCAACATAAAGTCATTCATGTCATTACATCATGTGATGAAACCTTCCGGAATAGATTCAAACAGAGTTGGCAACCCTACTGGGGATCCATGTGCAGCACCACAGTCCCTTCAAGAGCCCTGCTGCCAGGAGTTCTTTGCCCTACAGCAGCCAAGGAGAGACTATTTTGCCAGCTCAGGCTCTGGGCTTATATCTTCCCAGGGCCCTGGCCCCTTCCAGTCAGCAGGCTGCCTGGGCTGCCTGCAGGTGCCTGCTAATAGGCCTTATTGGCCTGTTGCCCCAGCAACTGCAGCTGCTGCATCCTGCTTAGCCTGCAGTGCTCCCAGGTTCTCTCTTACAGTAGTGTCCTGGCACACGCTTATTCAATTAATAGCATGCTAAAATGAGGAATAAGTCATAAAGTTATTACACATATGTTGTATGTTATATAATAACTTTGTGGCTGGTTCTTATCACACTTTTAACTGAAGGTGTGGCCAGTGCCCACCATCTAGAGCAAAAGGAGACTTTCAGGACTCCCCAGTGCTCTAGAAGCTGATAGGGTTCCTCAGCTGATGAGAGCTGCTGGTGTACCATATTCTCACCATCAGCTGATCAGAGTTCCCATCTGACTGGTCAGAAATCCCTGCTCTGTTGATCAAAGCTCCCAGCTGCAGGAGGGCATGGGGCATATGATTGGGCTCCCCTTGCACTGGCAATATGGCACTGTATGATCTGATACAGGGCATGTGGCATGGCAGGAAGCATGATTGTTGGGATCCTGCATCAGATCCCATTGCACCTTTACTCTGTCTGTCAGGAGCATAAGTGACATGTTTAGATCCTATTCCCACTTGCGCAAATAGTTCTCTTGAGCTTGCTCACTGCTTGCTTTGAGCAAATGTATGGTTAGTTTATCCTGGCCTGCTGAATTGTAGTTTTTGGCATTAGATTTAAATTTCCCCAGGGTAATTTCCTCAAAATTAAAATCAAGGTCTTCTATCCTATCTACAATGTCAGAAGTGAATTTTATTTCAGGTAGAGACCTGTTCAATAAAAATGAAAGTGCCTTAGCATCTTTTAATTTGTTCTTCAGGGTTTAAAGAATATTTTTATATTTGTTTTTTATGGTTCGTTGTAGCTGTAACTCATGTCACCCATTATCCTCTTTGTACGCAGTTTTTTGTCTGCCACTTCAGCTTACTGGGTCTGCCTATTAACATATGTTAATTTTTTTTCTGCCTCAGCATTTTAGCAGTTAATCTAGTTTTCTTTCTTCTTTGCATTTTTTAATTTCCTCCTATCATTATCACTAAGGAGGGAAGAAGTATTTTCTGTTTTCTTTTGGCAATGGCATTCTGTGTGGTCTTAGCAACCAGTTTTCTCTCCTATCCCTTCAAAGTCCCAATATATTGTCAGTCATACTGGCATATTTTTGATACCCTTCCTTACATAATCATCCTCATCTGTCATCAAAGATAGAATCCTGACATATTTGAGAGCTAAAGTTCAAACTCTATTAATGTTTGGAGGTTTTTGAATTTTGAGGAATTTTTCTTGATTACTTTTTATTGCAAGTAAACTCTTTATAATGCAGTACAATACACAGGTGATGGTCATTGGCAACTCTAGAAAGTTTTGTTAATCTATCTGGATGTTTTGGCACACTGAAGGGAAGATACAGGCCAAAGTAGTCTGTTTTTTCATACTGTGAAGCTCACCCTTTTTTATGTGAGTGTGGTTATAGGAAAAAAAATCCTGCCACAACAGGATGAGTTCACTGGCAGAGATTCATTATGTAAACCGATTCCATATGTATCAATGATGTTGCTTAGTCCACGGACATCTGTCACTACTTGCACATTTATATATCAAATTGTATCATATTGGATCGGATAATGTTGTATCATATCATATGCAGCTACAATGAGGGTGTCATGTTGTGTGACTCTGCTATTGAGGTCCTCTAGGATGTTGTAAAACCTGTGACTGCCATCCTCATTATGCTCATTTGTAGGGATGAAGCATTAAATTACTTTTTCTCTTATATATCGCATTTGGACTCATATATTGTATTTTATAGTTATGTTTCTTCTAGTTCTACATGGCTCTTTGCAATGCCTTCATGATCAGAGTAATTCCTTCTCTTCTTCCACCTTGGGTTCATTTTCTTGTCCTGTGGAATATAGTCTGTCCCCAGCCACATACACTTGAGCTGAGAATGTCAGTGCCATAATTTTCCATCTTTCATATAATATGAGTTGATTTTTCAATTTGGATCATCATATGTACATTCCAGAATCTTTCTATACATAACTCAAAGCAAACCTAAAGCTGTGGATTCTTCAAGGTACCATCTTAGTACCAAGGCAAGATTTGATTAGTCCCTATAATGTGGATTCCTTCGTCCTCCCCACTAACCCAAGGATCTGAGATGGAGAAAGGCGACATCTTTTCTGTTTCCATGGAAAGTAAATTTCTTGCAGGGTGGAATTGTCAACCTCACAGTGAATCTCCATATTTGGGGGTCCAGAGGCTAATTTTTGCCTGGTCTGTATCCTTCACGGTCCAAGTTAGGTATAATTGCAGGGTAGAACTATCATTGGCATAGCTTGTGAGGTTAGGAAGCAAGCAACAAGTAGTCCCACCATGACAGGGTACTAGACTCAATAGGAACTATGAGAATTAAAAGAAAGGTATCACTGGACGCATCTACATGTGAAATCAATGGGATGTAATAAGCTCTGCATATCATGCCAGAGCTTATTGCTCCTGGTCACCACATTTATGTGCATGCCCAGAACTGCAGCACATTGAACTGGGTCGAGCAGCCCCAGCAGGTACGGGACATAGGGGATCAGCTTGCTAGCCTAGGACTGCTCCAGCCCAGCTCAGTGTTCTGCAGAGCAGCTGGCTGGGGCATGAGGATGTTCCAGTGTGGGGCTGGTCAGACGGCAGCCCCTAAAGTGAAGCACCTTTGTGCCCCAGTCAGCCCCATCAACATCTACATGTGCCTTGTTGTGCAGTAAATAATGCTGCAGCAGGATAGTACTTGTAGTTACAAGTACTAATGTATGGCAGCATTTATTATTTTATTGCATCCTAATAAGGCTGCATGTGTAAGTGCAGCAACTTTACTGCAAAGTTAGTCAGCTCAGCAGCTCATGTAGACATGCCCGGTGAGTAAGATATGAGATAATGATCTCATCCAGTTTCCAGAGCTTAACATACTCTTATCCTCAGGGAAGAAATTTATTTAGATTTAAAGCATTAACTTACAGTTTTTAAATGTTATAGTATCAAACTGATATTAGCCAATTTGGCTTTAATTTTTAGTATTAACTACTCATCGTAGTGAATTCATTTTCTAATCATATGGATTCAATATGTCTTTCTATAGGAATCAGCTGTATTTCAGAATTTACCATTATACCATTTAAAAAAAATTCTGCTAATGTTCACAGTCCAGTGTACTTGCACGCAATTGATTTGTTTACCACTTGTAAAATAAGAGACATTTGTAACAAATTTACATAAACATGTATGCAACAACAAAATGTTCTATAAATCAGTTACAGCAGGCATAAGGAAAGCTTTTTCAGATGAATAAACATCTTGGTAAACTATCTGTTCACCTATAGATGATAGACATGAGAAAATATTTGTTTGAACATTTGTGTAGACTGCATGCCTTACTGATGAGCATTATGCTTTGAGTGCCATGTATATGATCAGCATAGAAATAAGACAAATAGAAATCTTTTGATGGTATTATCATTCTCCTTCAAGTGATTGTTTATAAACAGGTATCTCATGAGTTGAGTTTGAAAAGTTTTTGACCAAGTGTATCTATATGATGCACTTGTATCCTATTGTTCCTCATGCTTCACATTGAAACAGAAGAGAATGGATCTACTGCAGAATCCCATGTATACAAGATTCTGTCAACCAGGGCATGGAAGGAGGACTGTGGAAATGATATGGCTAATACATCTCAAATAACTCCACTTACTGTAAGAAAAATAACTTCTCTTTCTCCTCCTATTAATTGTCCATATGCCCTGTCTCAGAAGCCATGATCAGTTCACTGAGGTCCCAGCATTGTGCAAGGTTGCTAAGATGTGTTCTGAACGCTTGTACCAAATTATTGTTATGATGAGGTAGTGTTTGATGAGCTCGGCTTGTGGTTAAATAAACAAACATAAATGGTCAAATGTTTTGTTTTCACCATTCTTAGTATTCATAGAATATAGTCAAAAAATAAGTCAGTTTGATAAGGTTGACTCCCAGGTTTTTGTAGCTTCATAGAAACACCTTTAAAATATAACAGTTCTTGCTTCAGTAAATTTCATGGCATGACCTCATTATTCTTTGGGAATAACACTTCATAACATTTATAGGAAAGACTGGTTTATGCAGAGACAGCTTTTGTTATTGTTATACATGTCTCCTTTTTTGAAAGTGGGTGGTCATAGGTTTCTTTTTTTTCCCCTCTCTCTTTCTTTTTCCTCCTCTAATGTGTATTTCTCCTTTATTTGTTGTCTTCAGGTACCAGATACACACAGGTCTTCAGCATTCTATTATAAGGCCTACCCAGCCTAACTGCTTACCTCTGGATAACATGACACTACCTCAGAAGCTGAAGGAGGTTGGCTACTCAACGCACATGGTTGGCAAGTGGCACTTGGGATTTTACCGTAAAGAATGCATGCCTACACAGAGAGGATTTGATTCCTTTTTTGGATCACTTTTGGGCAGTGGGGACTATTATACTCATTACAAGTGTGATAGCCCAGGGATATGTGGCTATGACCTGTATGAAAATGACAATGCAGCATGGGATCATGACAATGGCATCTACTCAACACAGATGTACACACAAAAAGTACAACAGATTTTAGAATCTCATAATCCCAAGAAACCTATATTTTTATATATTGCTTATCAAGCTGTTCACTCCCCATTGCAAGCACCAGGCAAGTATTTTGAAAATTACAGATCAATAAATAATATAAACAGGCGGAGATACGCCGCGATGCTGGCATGCTTGGATGAAGCTGTCCACAATGTGACCCTGGCTTTAAAGAGATATGGTTACTATGACAACAGTATTATCATTTACTCTTCAGATAATGGTGGGCAGCCAATGGCTGGAGGAAGTAACTGGCCCCTCAGAGGAAGCAAAGGGACGTATTGGGAAGGAGGAATCCGTGCTGTTGGTTTTGTTCATAGCCCGCTTCTGAAAAACAAGGGGTCTGTGTGCAAGGAGCTCGTGCACATAACAGACTGGTTCCCCACCCTGATCACCTTGGCAGAAGGACAGATCGATGAGAATATCCAGTTGGACGGCTATGATATATGGGAGACCATTAGTGAAGGTAGGCGTTCCCCAAGGGTGGATATCTTACACAACATTGATCCTATTTACACCAAAGCCAAGAATGGCTCCTGGGCAGCAGGCTTTGGGATCTGGAACACAGCTATTCAATCAGCCATTAGAGTAAACCATTGGAAACTACTGACAGGAAATCCAGGATACAGTGACTGGGTCCCTCCTCAGGCTTTTAGCAATGCTGGTCCCAATCGCTGGCATAATGAACGGGTTTCTTGGTCAGCTGGGAAAACAGTGTGGCTTTTTAACATAACTGCTGACCCATATGAAAGAGTGGATCTTTCTGGAAAATATCCTGAGGTAGTAAAGTATTTGTTGTGGAGACTTTCACAGTTCAATAAGACTGCAGTTCCCGTTCGATATCCACCTAAAGACCCTCGGAGTAATCCTAAACTCAACGGAGGTGTTTGGGGCCCATGGTTTAAGGACGATGAGAAGAAAAAGAAACCAGGGAAAAATAAAAAGGGAGAAAATAAACAAAAGAAGAAGAAAAACAAAAAAAAATCAAATCAGAAAAAAGGGCAGTCCTTAAACTGCCGCTCCTGGCTTGCTGGTGGATAGGCTTGACTACTGTCTTTGCTCAGACCTAAGTCTGGCTGTTTGTTCTTTGTTGAGCTTCTGACACTCCACCAAAGTACAAATGCCAGATGTGCACTATGAGTGAAAGCTCTCCTCTTCTGATTTCTTTTCACATTTCACTAGCACAAGTTATCTTGACACTGTACCTGGAGATTATATAAACACCCACATAAAAACATTTTCTTCTCTCCTTTACTAATAGTGTTTATCTTTCACAGCTACATTCCAGATAACAATGGAAATGACTCTTAACTTCAGTAATTCCATATTTGAAGCACACATAATGGAATAATTCCATGACTAAACTACTGAATATCTCGGTAGTGGTATGGAAAAGTTAATGACAGATTTTTCTCAAGCTGATAAACATCATTTATATGGAAAAATTTTAAAAAAGGCCCTGACAATCAGTGAAGTTTACAGTGGGCTATAATCATTGAGCTGTGAATTTTTTATGGAGCGCAGCGGAAGATTAAGCTACCAGAATAACCCAAATATTGGAGGAGAACAAGCTGCTTTAAATTGCATTACTCTGTTCTACATAAATGGAAGAATTTTTTTCTTCCTTCAGTGTGCTAGGCTATACTTCTTTCTGGTGAAATCAAAATGCTGGTATCCAAATACACATGAAAAAACTAGCATGTGCCTTATATTACCTACCAAAGGATTAGACATGGAGTCTTTAAGCACACCACCAAAATGAATGTAATGTTTAAATACTTCAATATAATTATCCTGCAGTACCTAAAAATAATTTATTTTTACAGCACAAGTTAGTTAATTCATTCGTATTGAAACATTTACCAGTGGGTGATGCAAGTCACCTGTTTTTGTTTTATTTTAGCTCTGTCACTAGAAGAGTTTTATTCAGCTAATGTATCCAAATCTGCAGAGTACTGTAAACTGTAAAACCATAAAATACTGTAGACACTGCTAGAATGCAAAAGACGAATGATTCGGGTACATCTTTTTTCTTTATGGATTTGCCTCCAGTTATTTTGAATGTATCAAAGTGATTATTTTACTTAGTAGTCACTTGGAGTATGTTGTTCAGTTTCTTTATAGAAGCTAGACCACCTATATGTGTTTTTTGGGAGGGAAAGTCTACTTTAAACCTTTTTATTTATGTATCTATTAAAATAGTTTATTTTTATGGCATTCATAAAAGTAGTCGGTCTCTCTTTTGCACCAAAGAACTTAATTCACCTCTTTACTTGTGAAAAAAATCTTACAAAGATTCTTTTTTTTTTATGAAGGCAAGATTTTATGACATATCATTTTTGAGATAAGATTCTTCGGTCAATGAGTTACAAAGTGCTGGGCACAAATAAATCTTTGTCCTTTTTTCAAGGATGCTAAAGAAAAATTCTCAAGTGCCTAAGTGGATGCTTACAAGACATTCTGATTTCTTTATTCTTGTTGTTTTGCTGTAATCATATAATTCAAATGCAAACCTGTACCTTAACATAAAACGTGCCAAGTGAAATTAAGGACAGCTGATACATGTGCTACATGGCCATGCAACTTAAAATAATTCATCATGTCTAGCATTTGAAACAGGTGGCCTGACTCTAGCATTTCAATGTAAATGCTAGTGTAAATCCACTGTAGTCAAAAGAACATTGTAAAATCGGTGTGAGCTGAGATCAGAATCCAGTTGAGCATACCAGTAAAAGTGTATTCTAATTTTGGATGATAAGGTTAATATGTTTAACATACTCTCACAAAAATCAGTAGATTGCAAATTTGCATAAATGTGTCAGAACTAAAGCATCATCAAACAACTCTCAGGCACGAGAATGATCTCATCTCATTTTGCAGTTTAGTTGGGAGAAATCTTAGGAGAGAAGATAACACGGACATATAGGGAATATATATTTTTCAATAAGTTTCCATAAACATCCACCTAAAAAAAGGTTAAGTGTCCGTGTTAGATTTTCAGTATTGTTCCTGTTCTCTTTTTCAAGGTATACAGACCTAAAAAAGAATAATGCATCTGACACTGCCTACCAAAATATCAACTAGAAATGCAGAAAGTCAAGACATTAGTCTTCTTCAGATTCTCTTGTGGCACCCTTAGGAGAACTACTAATAACACCTTAAGATTTAACACTGGTAAGGGAGATCTCAAATATATATTCTCATTTCTTCTCTAAAAATTAATTTATTTTCTACCTTCCCAGGAAAAACCTGAAACATTTTTAAGGTGCATGGTAAGTGTGAAAACTTGAATAGGGAATGGACATTTAAACAAAGTACAATATTTGCATAGAATTACATTTTAAAATACATGATACATTGTGGGTGTGTCTATACATTCATTTACTGCGCAATAAGTGGCTTTTACACTGGCATCTACACATACAGACTTTACAGTGCAGTAATGCTGTGCGTGGACTAACTTGGGACTAAAGTTAGTCCCAAGTCAGTCCACACAAATAAGGTTACTGTGCAGTAAGGCATCTGCACATGACTTACTGCGCAGTAACTACTCAGGAGGTTGAAAATTTATTCCCAAGTTGGAGTAAATTGACTTCATGCAGGTAGCAAATTTACTCCCAAGTCAGCATAAGTCACCATAGTTACTATGCAGTACAGGCACACACATGTAGAAGCATGCTCATACTGCGTAGTAATTTTTGGTTATTGTACAGTAACTTTGGTTACTTAGGTTACTGTGCAGGAACAGTGCACGTGTATATACGTCCAGTTATATTCAAGTTTTAATGCAAGAATAACTTATTATGTGTCAAGAATCAGACTTTGATTTAACAAATTGTTCTTTAATCTGAATTCCTTAAAACACTCCCTGCCTCTGCAATAAAATTTTCAATCTGTTTGTTACATTCCCATTAATCACAGGTTCCTTCTGTGAAAGATTGTCATAATAAAATCTTTAAATCTTTTGAATATTAACCAAAGACATTTTAAACCTAATGAATAGAGGGTTTTCAGCTTGCTTTTGAAATGTACTGAATTAAAAAATATATATCAGTACTAGGTCCATTCTGCAAAGAGATACATGATCTCAGAGACTGGTAATGGAATATGTGGCTTTTCAACTCTTGGTCACTGGTTCAGGTAAAAAATGACACGTTTTTCATGCTAGAGTGTCTTACAAGGACAAAATTAATTTCCCCAACTTTTGAAAAGACAGTGTGAGGAAGCTTACTTTGTCTGTTCTCTGGATAAATAAAAGCTTCCTATTCTGATGGTTGCCATTATACTACCTTTTAGTAAGCAGTGAATTTGCAAATTATAAAAAGATAGAATAGCATCCCTTGGACACACACAGCTTATTTTAAAGGAAAAAATTGCTATGTTACACATATATAATAATCTCTTTCCTGACATTTTTTGAGTATTCACTTCATTTTTGTTTTATTTGTATGTCATTCTTCAGTGGATGCTTTTTCTACAGAAAACCAAATATTATTTATATTTTGCTGGTACTCCATTATTTATTTTCCTGGTTTCTGAGGCAGGAGACATGTTACCATGAAGAGGATTATGAAATCTACTTTTGCACTGAGAGAACTCGGGCCTCACAAGAACCTGTCCCCATTCAGCACAGTATATAAACACATGCTTAACCTTATTTCAATGGGACTTAAGCACATGCTTAACCGCTTTCAAGAACTGGACTTTATGAAGTAAAGGGTGGGTCAACAAGCAAAAAAGCAAGCTTTTTCTTTCAGTACTTCATACTGCTTTCCACATCTGCAAAGACGAATAATAACATGTCAGTAGGGCCAGAACCACAACATAAGGATGAAGGGAGCACTTGATTGTGAATGAATGTGCTAGCCTAGCTATATTCTAGCTACATGTACAAGTGGAATTCCGTTTATTCCAGTTACAATCCAGAAGACAGTTGCTAAATGTTAGCTTGCCACCAAAGTAATACAGGTCATTAATTATCTTTGTTGTCCTTTTCCACAAAGGATGCAAGATAAAGACCTGAAATGTCACACTGACATATTCTGAAAAGACTATTTAAAATACATATAGTTAAGAAACCTTGGTGTCTCTGTACAAGTCACGTATTTAATCACATTAAATTACTGCAAAACTTGAAGGAACATATGCAGTGTTTGTTGCTGTTCTCTATGCTTGCTTAAAAGATCATTTATGGTAATTACTTGACAAGACCACATGATTCAGTTTCTAAATGTACTCTTGCTTCTGTAAGTTAAAACAGCTAACACAGTTGCACACAAAGGAAAGTCAAGGGTTCTTAAATACACGAATATTTTTCCATTGCAAGTATTCAAAGGGCAATTTGGAAAAAAATAGAAATAGAAGCACAACATGGTGCCTTTACTGAGGATTGCTATCATATTGTGTAGAGTAATTCATTTTTTTAAACTAACCACAAAAAAAGCCACCTTCTGTTTGTTTGACCTGAAATTCATTTAAGCACTTTAAACCTTTTCTGATTAAGGCACTTTTTACAAATGATTTTGTGAAGGGCCAAAATCAAAGTTTTTATTTACTAAAGTCCTTCCAACTAGTGACTGGCCATGAGTGAGGGTCATCCGTAACAGTGTGAGGAAGAATACTGGGAAAGGTCTTAAAAATATACTGTTTTATGGGAAGACAGAAATGATGCATTTGAAACACTTTAGAACTCACACTTCACTCTCAAGAGTGATTGCCACTTCATATTTAGGTGTGGAAAAGGATGAAAGAAAGATGCAAGTGGTTACGCAGCCAACATCTGTTTTTCCTAACTAATACACATCTACTAATATAACATTGTCATTAAGCAGAGTGGATTAAATCTTGAAACTTATGGGGGTGACCATTCCTTTCATTCAAGATAAATGGCAAGAGGCAGTTAAGCTTCAATTTGGAATAGCTGAAATCATAAGAACTGCCCAAAGCATAAAGCATGTGTCAGTTAGCTCAGAAACCAAATTACATAGGTAGTTTCACTGGGTATAGTTGGAAAAAAAATGTGCACACCTAGGAGCAGAATCAGAACAGGTAGATAGAAATGGCCAATGAAAGTCAACCAGACAACAAAATATGTCCCTGTGAGAACGTGAAGAGAGGGCACAATACTCATCCGGCAGGTGTTTGAGACAAAGAAAATGCCATCTGCTGTGTGATTCCTAAAGTGCTTGGAGAAACAGAGTTTTGTGTACTACTTGGTAAATAGAACTATCTCAAAGAAATATATGACCACCATCATTTTCTCCTGCTACCGAAAACAACCCACACAGTCCTGAATATATTGTCTGTGAATTGTGAACTGATTATCTACTGGCTGTTACAATTCTTGTTGAATCTGTTCTTATTTTGATGGCACCTCTTGCTCGTATTCATTGACCCCAGTTTTTGTGTCAGTAACAGATTTCATTACATTTTACTTCATTTCCTTC